GTATGTGGTGTAATTGGTCTTGTTAGTGGATATTAATTGATCTTCGAAGGTGGGAGTTGAGTGTTTAATTGATAAGTTGGGGGTTATTTGAGGTCGAAGGGATGTCCATAATGATTTAGCTTATGGGTAACTTTATTATTATTATTATTATTTTACTTAATTGAAGCTGTTATTAATGCATTCTGTAAGATTGGAATGTTAGTAAGAGAAAATCCAAGGAAGGAAAGTGACTTGAAGGAACGAAGCCCGAGAACAGGACATAGTGATTTTTTATTTTTTATTTTTTTTCCTCATTTACATAATTACCTTTGTCTTAATGGGCTGCTTAATTACCAAGAAGAGTGCCATATCAAGCAGGCCATGGTAAAGGCCAACAAATTTCTTTTTCTTAATAGGGAAAACATGGAATGTTAGGTAATGCCTTGAAGTTATACCAATACCACTTATTTGACGTTAAATGGCTTGGGACGTCTGTTGTCTGTCATACCGGAGTATACTTGATGTGACAAGGATGCACGCTATAAAGTCGCTTGGTGTGTAGATTTGACAGCTTCGAGAGATGATAGACTACTGTCTATTTTGTTAACCAGTGAGTGTTGTTTTATGTATGATTGTGACCAGTTTCATTATTGGCTATTAATAAAAAGTAGTAGTAATGTTCTCTGTGCATACATTGTATATCTTGTAATATTGCATTATGATGAAAGGAAAGGAAATCCTAAATCACAATGACATAAATATGTAATTAAGTTTATTTTAAGATACTGAAACAAAATCAAATCTCTAAATTGAAAAAAAAAGTCTGGTTTTCTCATTGTTCAGCTTTTTCAGTTTGCTTTACGTTATTCTGTCATTTCAAAGAAAATAATTTTCCATTTCTTCTTGGATCTAGCTGTTTTCATGTTCTTTTGGTGAAGAGCTTCTATTATACGGGTAGTTTTTTAATAATTTCAATAGTTTGAAATGTAAGTAATTTGAGAATGTTAAGTTTTATATATTTATTAACCCCTTGGTGCCGGGTATGACGTGTACGTACGTGCTATGCCCACAGTGAGTACTTGTTTGATTGTTTTTACGCATAGATGGCAACACTTGTACTAACTCCCCAATGAGCCAGTTAAGAGCACCGCCCGTCTCGCCTGTTTACCCGTTTCTTTGATTTACAAAATATTTTACGTAATCTTATTTTGCTGTTACTAATGTTAAAAAAATATATAAAAATTATAATGTTTATGACAAAAATAACACCATCGATTTTCATAGCACTAGTGAAAAATACGTTTTTCCCGCCATTTAAATCAGGCGCTAGCAGAGCCATCTATCGGCAGACATTTCACGAAAAACATAGAAAGTGGGCACAATATTTTCCCTATTTTTTGTTCATTTTCCCCGGCACTATTGGGTTAATGGTTTCATTCTGTCAACTGTAGAAAGAGACCTAATTAATTATCTGTTCTTATTTGTATGGTTTAATATTGACAGTATCATCACTTGATCAAAAGTAAAATCAGTATGTTGAATATACATGTCAACTTTAGAGTTTGATTTAGTCATTTGAAGATTGAATCATGCTTGCAGTCAATTAATTATTATTTTTTTTTTTTTTAGGGGTGGGGGGGTATGAAGAAAACTGTTGTATATTCTCTTCATGTTTTAATTTTGCAAAAGGAAAAGCGCCTGGAGCAAATAGTTATGTGCGAAACAATGACATAGTCTTGGCACTACCTCCTTGAAAGAATGTCATTGCTGTTTCATTCCATTATCTAATTTTCACTCTTGAGAAATGTATATTGCTATCATACGCTCACGGGAACACTTTCTCATCTCTCTATATCTGCTTTAACCCAATCACCATAGATTTTTGTACTGTTACATACAGATGGCTCCACATGTTCTCAGCCAGCAAGGAGTCTATCTTTAGGCCCTAGTGACTTCTCCTGATTTCCCCCTTCCTTGAAATTGTGGGAAAATAGGTTTCTCTTTCTAATACTCTTGATATCAGTGCTGTTATTATTCTTATTGATATTATGCTTATTAAATTGTCATTAAAATCTTGGTAACATTAAAGACAATGAAATAGCACAAAAGACACTTTCCAAAAGTCAAGGAAAAAGGAAAAAGATGAGAAAGTTAGGACTAATAGCTGACTCCTTGGTGACTAAGCAATTGTAGAGCTGATATTACAGTGGATATGGCATGCTTTTTTGCCATCTGTAGGTTGACCATTGCCTGTATCTAATTATCATATTTAATTTTTTTTTATGGACCTTCCCACAGTGTTGATAAAAAAAAGTTTATTTTCTTTTTCTCTTACATCTGTTATATAGAGTTTGATTGAAGAATCAGGACTATATTTCAGTCAGCTTTTTTTTTTTTTATGATATACTATAGAATATGGAAATGATTCTGAAAATCTCTTCAAGAATTTTTTCTGAGCTCTTCAGAAGAAAATGATATGAATATCTACATTAATTTTTAAGAGCTAAATTGATGGGTAGCC